TTTAAATAAAATTTTAAAAAGAAAGGAACTGGTGAATCCCTGCCCCAGAGGCCACAAGAGGAGGCAAGAACCATGAAACCAAACCCAAAATTTTCTCCAAGTTCATTCAGGACAAAACTCTGGCCATTGCTTACTACTGGTTGGTGATGTTCAGCTGGGAGCGGAAGTGAAAGGACTTCCGGCTGTCCACCATTTTCCGGAACTGCTGCCTCAGCCTCCGAAGCTCCATCTCTGCCTGTTGCTCTTTGGTCTTCTCTGGATCTTCCTGAGGATATCCAGAGTCTTTTCTCCTGTGCTTCTTTGGTTCAGGGAGACAGAGGGCAGGAGTAATGGATTAGGTGACTAGAGAAGGCCACATTTCAGCTCAAGGGGAAGGGGAGAGGTGGTGGAAGACCATCCCTGAGTGATGTGAACTGCTTATCTGTTACATGGAAAACCTGTCCAGGGTTGCCACAGTGCGAGAAGGCTGGGCCTCATACTGTGTACTGAAGAGGCAGGCTTGCTATGCAAGGTAAGAGGGTATTCTTTGGAGTCCTGGGTTCAAGTCCTGACTCTGCCACTAACAGGCTGTGTGTCTTTGGGCAAGTCACTTAACATCTCTGAGTCTCCAGTCTCTTGTCTATAAAATGACTATGCATAGATGTGTTGTCAGGATTAAATGAGCTAATATATGTAAAGCAAATGGCACAGCACCTGACCCCTAGTAGCGCTCCTTAGGAGCTGTTATTACCGTAGGCATCTTGAAGGAATCGTGTTTCCCCCTGCTCAGTCAAAGCCAGCGATTTCTTCTTTCTCTCTCTGCAACGCCCTGTCCACAGGGGCCAAAGGAAGAGAACTTGTGAGCAACCCTATGACACCTAGTTCTTCCCCCACCTTCCATGGTCCCTTCCTCCTCCCTCAGCTTAGCACACAAGGAGGACATGGCAGATGGCTGCCCGGGTGGGAAAAGAGGCACTTAAAAAAAAAAAAGAAAAAAAGCAGTGTTTGCCTGAAACCTGTTCCTCTCATGATTTATTATTAGAAGCTGGGCAGATGGTTCTGGAGTGCCAGTTACCCTTCTGCTCCCTGTGTTCCCAAAGAGAAGGGGGCAAAACGGCATCAGGGAGGTGTGTCTCACAATGGGGTTAAAGTGAAATTCACCCAACCTCAGCTTCAGCTGTTGCTGGACTCCCCCATTTCAAGGAGGAGCCAGTGGTTATGAGAGGCATTTTTCTAATATCATAACTTGGATTTATCTGGCTGTGAGGATTCAGAGGAGACTCACTGCACCCCAACTCCCAGACTTCAGGGGCTTGGTTTTTAAAGCAGAAACTTCTTCCTTTGCCACCCACTGAGGGGTCCTGTTGTGTGGTGGTAAAAAAAAAGCATGGTTGTAAATATCATTAGATCTGAGCTCAAATCCCTTCTTAGCCACTGACTAAACTTGGATAAGTCACTTCAGTTCTCTGAGCCTCGGTTTGCTCATCTGGAAAATGAGAGAAATTCTAGAAGACACCTCACAGGGTGTTGAGCATGTAAGGCACCTAGCACTGTGCCTGACACATAGTAAGTGTTCAGTAAACAGTGGCTAGTGCGATATGGGTTATTTCCCGTAGTGAAGATTTAGTGTAATGAATGCTTAGTAAGGATTTGAGTGGCACCCAGCCGTCTTCTCTACCCTGAATTGCGTTTGGGAAGCCACGCCCTTCTCACTCCTGGAGCGTCCCGATTGGAGCATGTGACTCTGGATACACCAATCAGAAAGCCAGATCCCTGGTTGATCGGCATAACCTCAACCTCCTGACCTGAGCGATTAGTTCACGGATGGGACAGGACCCTGCCTAGTCCAAGCAGAATGAATAGTGGGATTTAACCTTGAACACTCAGGAAGAGACTTTGTTTTCTGCTACACTCGAATTTAGGAGAATGAGGTTGGCAGTGGCTGGCAGCCTTCTTGCCTCCACATGGTTCCTGAGAATAAAGCCAAGATGCAGGAGTGCAGACAAATAGAGACTGAATTTTGGGGACATCACCCAAGTCCCTGGATCAAGCCAAGCCTGATACATCTGAGTTGTGTTCAATTACATGAGTCAATATATTTCCCTAAAGCAATCCAAGATGAATTTTTTATCACTTGCTACCAGATGAGTTCTCGTGCTGAGAAGCACAGAGGCTCAGGTCGGGGACGTGAGGCATGTGCCTCCCCTTCCCTGGGCCTCGGTCTGTTCATCACAGCATCCATAGTACAGGGCACATGGTAAGCTTTCGGCAGACACTGGTTGAAGGAATGAAGTTTCTTCCCACAGAGATCATTTTTACAGTCTAATATTTAATTAGCTGTGGAAGGAAAGGCCTCCTCTGCTGCTAAGTTTTGACAGAAAAGTCTGACATGAGAAGGATTCTGCAGGGTCCCCTCGAGCAGGCAGGAGCATGGATTATAAAATGTCAGGTCCGCTGGTAGCTTGGGGCGAGGGAGCGGGGTGCTTGTAAAAACAGCCTGGCTGCACAACCTGGTGGTAGATTTAACACCTGCTTAGGACCAACCAGAGGCGCAGAAACACACTATTTTTTTCCCCCATGAAGAGCCCAATTTTGAAAAATGATTTTTTTTTAGTTGGGATTGTTATAGGGGAAAATTTAAGTTTGTTGGATTTCTTGGAGTTATTTTACACATTGTAATTTGTTTACGTTTAATTGAGGAGGACTATGGTATTTTCAGGGCATAGGGCAGCTAAGGTCAGGATAGGCTGGGAGCAGACGGTACACCTATGCTTCGCCTCGGCGGTGCTCCCCGGCAGGGGGCGCTGTGGAGCGGCAGGCGAGTTGCGCAAACTTACCAAGGCCGCCTAGCAGGCGGCTCGGGCCGCGAGTCCCACGGGGCAAGGAGGGCTGCTTGCCGTGCGGCCCCGCTGCGCCAGCCCACGCCTCCACGCCCGGGCGTTCTCGGACCCCTGGAACGGCGCCTTTGTGACTCGCACAGACGGGGCGTTCTCTCCTGAAGGCGACAAGAGGAGCTGGAAAGGGGAGACCTTAGAGGAATGTGACATACTCCTCGGAGACCCCGCCCACCCGCGGCGGCCCGGGCCAGACTAGCCAGGCCCCTCACGATGCTGAGTAACTTTCACGCCCTCACTCGTCCACTCACCTCGCCATTCAGTCCCTTATCTCCTCACTCATCCACTCACGGCTAAATCCACCGTCTTCTTCCTCACCCCTCACTCACACTCTCTCAGCCTTCCTCCCAACAACACTGCTGGTTACATACTTGACACGTGCTTAACTCAAAGGAGCCCAATTCTGCCTGCTCGAAAAAAAAAAAAAAGAGAGAGAGAGAGAAAAGTAAAGAGTAACGTCAGCAGTATGGAGGAGGTTACCCATCATTCTCCGTGTGACTCCTGACAGGAGCATTTCATTGCTCTACCTGAATTTGGTGATTTAAAGATAAGCATTTTTCATACAAATGGCCCCGAAACACAAGCCGACTCCTTCCTCTGGGGCTAAACTGAAGAAACAGACCCTCGTTCCAGGGCTCGAGGGAAATGATTACAGAAACTGATTTTCCAGAGTAATTTTAACTCCATGCGTTTTCCACCTTATCTGCTAACCTCCTGAGTGAATTGTACGTCAGCTGTACTAAGGCCTCCGTCCCCTTATCCTAAACTCTTGGGACAAGATATGTTGTAGAACTTATCGTATTCTTGGTGTTAGGAAGGTAATATGGTGCACCCTGGATGTGAACAGGGAAGAGTGTTCCTGTTGTTGCTGGCAGCCCTCTTGTAGCCATGAGGGAAGTCAGTGTGAGATCAAGGCCTATTATGTAACATGCCCAAGTCGGGTCTGAGCAACACATCAAAATCAAACGCATTAGTATCTCTGCAAGGAAACCTATGAATATTCATGACAAGTAGGATAAAGATTATGAACAGCCTCTTCTCAGGGCTTCCCTCCAAACGATTCACACGAAGTGTTTTGAGGCAATTATTACCACCCTATTTTACAGATAAGGAAACTGAGGTTTCGAGAAACAGAATGACTTTTGCAGGATCACCCAACTAGAAAGTGGGGGAGCCAGGATTTGAACCCAAGGCAGGCTGTCTCTAGAGCCCCATGCTTTCCCCCAACCCAGAATGAAACCACAGCTCCAAACTCAGGCTGCTTTTCTGGGAGCTGACATCGCCCATCTCTCTGATATTTAAAGGGTCGCTCCAGCAGTCAGCTCCATACATAGCCCAGTGACTCACACATTTCAAGTGTCAAAGACTGAAAAATGATTAAGTACAATTAAGTTCAGGACTTGTTAAAAATAGACTTTCCTCTGAAGAATTTACTCTCTCTGCCTTTATGGATGCAGACCTCGGCAGCCCCCATGCAGAGAAGTACAAGCCTTTTTCATTAGAACATGGCGAGAATCATTTCTGCTAAAGGAATCATCAGCTTCCATCCGTGGGGCTTGGAGCAGGGTGAGATGCCACCTTGCCAAAGTAATGAGCCATCGGTGAGAAATGTTGGCGATTGCAGACTCTACAAAACAGAAGCGGAAATCACAGCCAAACTGCAGAGGAGCTGGGTAAGCCATTTGGACACAGACCCAGGAAGCTGGTTGTCCAGGTGACTCTTTGCCTGTGAGGATCAGAAACCCACTCAGATGAACTCAGAATGATTTTGTTGCCTTCCCCCTCCTGGCTGTTGTTGTTGTTGCTATTTGGTGCTATCAAGTTGATTTCAGCTTACGGTGACCCCGTGTGACAGAGCAGAACGGTGCCCCATAGGGTTTTCTAGGCTGTAATCTTTACGGAAAGGAGCCCTGGTGGTACAGTGGTTAAAGCAATGGACTCCTAACTGAAAGGTTGGTGGTTTGAAACCACCAGTGGCTCCGAGGGAGAAAGACGTGGCAGTCTGCTTCCATGGAGATTTACAGCTTTGGAAACCCTATGATGTCACTAGGAGTCAGAACTGACTTGACGGCAGTAGGTCTACAGTCTTTGTGGAAGTTGATCACCAGGCCTTTCTCCTGAAGAGCTGCTGGGTGGGTTTGAACTAACAACCTTTTGGTTAGCAGGCAAGTGCTTGACTGTTGCGCCACCAGTGCTCCTGCCTAGCAGAACCCAATTTGTTCAGTAACCATCCCTTCTCCATTCAGCCCAAGTGACCAGGACCGTTTCACACACCCCTCAGGGTAGATCTTGGTTAGTCTTAGCCAATCGTAGCCATCCCCACCTCCTTGCCAGTGATTGAAGCAAGAACCAAAGTTTAAGCCAATCAGTGCATGGTATTCTCCTGGAGCCTGAAACTGGTCCAGGAATAGGCAAATAACCAGCAGTGGCCTACTCAGACAGAAAGGAAGGACTTATAGTCCAGGGTTGGAGGACAGATGCATTCTCTAGCTTCTTGGATATGAACAAGGAAGTCTGTTGTCTTGTTGCTGCTGGCAGCCTCCTTGTAACCATGAGGAACATCAGTGTGAGATCAAAGCCTATACATGATGGAGAGAAGACCCTAGAAAGAGTTGCAGAACAATGGGGTCTATCTAAACACACCTTGGAAGAAAGTCCCGACAATCCACTTCCGAAAAATCAGGCATTAACAATCCTATGGAGCACAGTTCTACTCTGACACACACAGGGTTGCCATAAATCAGAGTCAACTCAACAGAAACTTCTTATTATGGTTATGAACTGTGAGAAAGCTAAAGCTTTCTCTAAAGCTACCCACTTGTGGTATTTTTTGTTATGGCAGCACTAGGTAACTGAGACAGGATGTCTGGTGGTAGCTATGTACCTCCACAACTACAGCTTCTGTCTAGGTGGCCCCTCGCCCCAACTCTAGCTTGTACTGGGCCTCAGTCACACAAGTTCCTTCTTTCCCCTGCTTCTTTCATGAATGTGGCAATGGCTTACCTTGTTGCTAGTCTCTCGGTGTCTCAACCTCCCCTCTTTGTTCCTTTAACCCTGCCCATGCCTCTGTGCAAAGTCCCTTCCTTAAAGTTTTTGGACCCATCTGAGCAGATTCTGTTTCCTTCTGGGGCCCTGCCTGTGACAACCCCTTCCCACCCTCCCCTGTGACAATCAAGTGACCTTGTTGGGTTCAGTGCTGCAGACACTCTGCCCTCAGGAGCGTGATAGAAACCAGCCTGGGAGTGAAGCCAGCATTAACTTCAATTTGGCACCAGCAGCTGTGCCAAATGGTTCCATCATTTTGAAAAAGTAAGTAACTGGGGGGCCCTCCCTGCTAAGTGTGCTGTCTTCCACTCCCTGTCACAGAGCCCACCCTGCTGCATGAGGCTAGGAACAGAGAGAGCACACCAAGCTAGGGAGAGAGAGTGAGGAAGGAAGGAGAAGAACTTTTCAGGCCAGGCCTTGGACAGCAGGCTCTGCGTGCCGCTGTATTACCCCGTGAGGCACTGGAAAACAAATGGCTGCCCATTTGGAGGCAGCAGCGGAGGCCTGGTGCCCCGAGCAGTATATGTACCTGCCAGGCCACTCGGCTGCTCTAAAGCAAGATCATCTCTGTTTGGCCTCCTTTTCAAGGGGACATTGAAGCGTCAGTTTGGCAGACGTTGCTGTTTGCCTCCTCAATATCCACTCTTGCCTTCCTTCTGTCCTTTTCCTACTCTTATTGGGGATGGCAAGTACTCAACTTTAAAAACTACATTTCCCAGCTCCCTTTGCAGAGGTGAATGGCCATGTGACTCAGCTCTGGTCTGAGAGATGGAGTGGTGGGGTCACTTGCCCAGATACTCTTGCGTCCCTTTACTAACTCTGTGCAAACACTCTTCAGCATGTGTATGCTTTGTTGCTAATAGAATTGTGCACAGCCACCTCTTGGCGGTTCAAACCTACCCAGTGGCTCTGCAGAATAAAAGACCTGGCAATCTGCTTCTGTAAAGACTGTAGCCTAGAAAACCCTATGCGGTAGCTGTACTCTGTCACATGGGGTTCCTATGAGTCGGAATCAACTCAGTGGCACCAAGGAACAACAATCTCTCCTGTATGGAAAGCCAAAATGCCTGGGAGTTTTACTTCCTTCCAACCACTTCTAGGTAGCCAATAAACAACATCTGACTGGTGTGGAATACAAGAGCCCAGCTCCTTTGCCTTGAGATGTAATTTATACCACAGAACTCCCCACAGGAACAGGCAACCTATGGGGTCAGGCTGAGGCTGATCTGAACTTGCACCCTTGCTCGGCTTCATCCCTCTCCCAATCCTGCTTCCCTTACTCCCTGGCCAGTTTCTCCTGGGAGCATTTCCTTCCTTCCCATCTGTAAAATGGGGGCGCTAACATTATCCACCTTAGAATGTCGTGTTAATATTTAAGGTGTTTTGAACAATATCTGTACGTAGTAAGTACTGCCTGACAGTTTGCCATTAATATGATGATTAAGATTTGGATTTCCACATTTGCTTCCCTTGAAAGATGGAAAGATCTGGCAACAGCGGTTATTGTTAGGTGCCATCAATTCAGTTCCGACTCCTAGAGACCCTATGTACAGTAGAAAGAAACACTGCCCAGTCCTGCGCCATCCTCACAATCATTGTGTGCTTGAGCCCATTGTTGCAGCTACTGTGTCAGTCCATCTCATTGAGGGTCTTCCTCTTTTTCGCTGACCCTCTACTTTACCAGGGATGATGTCCTTCTCCAGGGACTGGTCACTCCTGATAACATGTCCAAAGTAAGTGAGGCGAAGTTTACTTTATTTAGCAAACCTTTATACAGAGTGCTGTTGGCTACATGCAAGCACTCTTCCAGGCATTTGCAAGCATCCATTCATTCAGCTCTCAGAACAACTCTATGAAGTGGGTTCTGTTAGGGTCCAATTTTACAGATAAGAACACTGAGGCATAGCAAGGGGAAGGGGCTTGCCCAGTGTCACACAGTGAGTAAGCCCCAGAGCCAGGATTCAAACCCAGGCAATCTGGCTCTACTGGGTGACAGTAGGCTAACTCTGGGTCCTGGGGGTCCCCTCGAGAAAGGGCACTGACTCTCTAGTTCACCTCATTTCTGCCTCCCCCCGCCCCACCCCCACCCCCAGTTTTCTCCTTCCATTTCCTGCGTTTCTCTTTCCATTACCCCTTTTGGCTCTGTGTTTTCCACCCCCATTCCCCAAGGGCTCAACCACAACAATTTCCAAATGATCCCAGGTTAGCAAGCCC